ACTTTGGATTAACTCAGGAGTTGGTATACCAGAAGTCGCCCTTTCGAACATATTCCAGCGTTTTTATCGTGTAGAATCTCAAATTTCACGTAGTCACGAAGGTACCGGAATAGGACTTGCTCTCGTCAAAGAACTTATTACATGTCATGGTGGAGATATCACTGTTACCTCCACAGTAAATCAAGGAACAACATTTAAATGCTGGTTCCCAATAGGATATGAACACTTGCCAACAAATCAGATACGCTTTAATAATGTTGAAAATCCAATAAATGACGATAAGACATTGTACAGCAGTCGACAACTTTACTTAGAAGAAAGTTCTCAGTGGATAAAAGATAGTACATTTGAAGCCAAAGATGATATAGCAGATAATGATGAAACTTTAAACAAAGAGTCTCAGTGGATAAAAGATAGTACATTTGAAGCCAAAGATGATATAGTAGATAATGATGTAACTTTAAACAAAGAGATTATATTTTATTCCTCCACAAAAAATCCTATTGCTAAGAAAAAGTTTCAAATCTTACTTGTTGATAATTGTAATGATATGAGGTAATTATTTATTTATTCGATTTAAATAATATATTTTGTTATAAATTGTCTTTTATTATTTGGCTACATTTATAGAAATTATCTAGATGATCTGTTAAAAGAATTTGACATACTCCATGCCTATGATGGCCAAGATGCTTTAAGAGTTTTAAAAAAGCCTAACAAATTACCTGATTTAATTCTTAGTGGTAAGTAAATGTATAATTACAATCTTTGGATTTAATATATTATTAATAAAAATTTTATATAATTTGAATTTGATTTATAGATGTAATGATGCCAAATATGAATGGATACGAGTTATTAGATGTATTAAGATCTAATAGTATGACTCAACTGATTCCCATAATATTATTGTCCGCAAAAAGTGATGAAGAATCTAAACTTAGAGGTAATTTAATATATCAGATTAGTCTATTTCCTTTATCGGTTTTCGTCTTTAATATACGTACTGTACTTTTAGGTCTAGATAAAGGAGCCGATGATTATTTAATAAACCCATTTCTGCTCGAGAATTAATTACTCGTATTCGCACTAATCTTGAGTTATCATTTCTTCGTCGTAAAATAACATTTGAACTATGTAAGCAGGAAGAAATAAAGCAGTTATGTTTTCCGAATCAAATATGAAAGAAACATTACAATATATTGTTGAAGAAATCTATCATAGATTACCATGTGAAAGAATATTTATCATTTCAAATGAAGAGTTTGATATTGAGAGTAATAAATTAATTGCTTTATACGAAAACACTACAAATTCACCCATGGAAATGACGAGAGTGAATCACAAACATTTATTAAATCACAAGAATTTTTAAAGAATAATTCAGGAATAGATATTTATTTTGATGTCTACTGTGACGATGTTTGTAAAAATGTATCTATATTATCAGCAGAAATAAGGCTAAATAATGGTCTTTGGGGATGGATAAAATTATATAGGTCTCCAAATTCCACTTGGCTCGATTCTGAAATAGAGTTTTTACAACAAATATCGAATCAAATAAGTTTAACTATTGCTTGTAAAACCATATTAGATATTGCAAAGGAAATTCAAATAAAAGCTGCTGAAGTTGCAAGTAACGCCAAGAGTCAAATATTAGCAAATACTTCTCATGGTATATTACTTTCGTTAACTACACTTCGAAAATTTTTATAGTGCTAATTAATATTAATCATATAGAATTAAGAACACCATTAGGGGCGATAGTAGGCATGACTTCTTCTTTTGAGGGTACTGACTTAACTACTGATCAAAGGGACATGGTCAATATCTTGACATGTGCCTCTGATGCAGTGTTATCTATAATAAATGATATCCTTGACGCAGCAAAATTAGATGCACATAAAATTACTCTGGTAAATAGAACATTTGACTTATTAGAATTATTTGATAGTACGGTTGAGACATTTGGAGAAAAAACCGGTGCTAAAAATGTCGAACTAATCATAAATTGTGATGTGAGTTACCGAGATATGTTAAGAGCGATCCTGAGAGGTAATTGAGCTAGTGCAACTTATAAATAATAATAATAATAATAATTTTGTTACTTGTATTGCATTTTTGCTTATTAAATAGGTTGAAACAAGTTTTATCCCATCTATTGTCAAATTCGTAATTATGCTTATATATTTATGTTTATTCTATTATTCTTTAACATATAAAGTAATAATCATTCATAATTTCACAGAATTAAATTTACTGAAAAAGGTGAAATCATACTGAAAATTTCAATTCTATCACGAAAAGCTATTCGCGAAACCAAAGCGAGCCTGTTAATTGAGTTATGTGATACTGGCATTGGGTAAGCCACTTATTACTATATATTTTTATATTTTAGTACTGTATGTAGTCATCTAATAATTTATTAATAATAGCATGAATCCTGAATATATACAACATGCTTGGAAAAGCTTTTCACAAGGCGACATGTCAATAACCAAGAAACAAGATGGTACAGGACTTGGTCTC